TTATACAGTATTACTCCTTTTGTGACTGGCTTATTTCCCTTAGCATGTCTTCAAGTTTCATTCATATTATAGCATGTGTCAGAATTTCCTTCCCAAGGCTGAATAATATTTCATTGTATGTATGTACCACATTTTGTTTATCCATTCATCTGTTGATGGACCCTTGGGCTGTTCCCATATTATAGCTGTTGTGAATGATGCTGTTATAAATATGGGTGTCCAAATACAGGTTGAGTATCCCTTATCCGAAATGCCTGGGACCGGAAGTGCTTCAGATTTCTGAATTTTTTCAGATTTTGGAATATTTGCATAATGCTTACCAGTTGAGAATCCCTAATCTGAAAATCTGAAATCCAAAATGCTCCAGTGAGCATTTCCTTTGAGCTTAATGTAGATGCTCAAAAAGTTTCAGATTTTGGAGCATTTCAGATTTTGGATTTTTGGATCAGGGATACTTCACCTGTAACCATTTAAGTCCCTGGCTTCAGTTTTTTTACATATATTGCTGGATTGTGTGGTAATTCTACATATGATTTTTTTTTTTTAAATTTGCTATACTATTTTCCAGGGGCTGTACCATTTTACATTGCCACCAGCAATGCACAAGGGCTCCAATTTCTCCACATCCTTACCAATACTTGTTATTTTGGGGTTGTTTTTTGTTTTTTTCTGAGAACCATCCTAATAGGTGTGAAGTGGTATCTCATTATGTTTTGATTTGCATTTCCCCAATGATTAGTGATGTTGAGCATCTTCCGTGTGTTTGTTGTTCACTGGTATATCTTCTTTGGAGAAATGTCTCTTCAGGTTCTTTGCCCATCTTTTAATCACTTGTTTTATTGTTATTGTTGAGTTTTAGGAGTTATTTATGTACTCTGACTATTAGCCACTTATTAGATATGTGATTTGCAAATATTTTCTCCCATTCCATGGGTTGCCTTTTCACTCTGTTGATAGTGACCTTTGATGCACAAAAGTTTTTAATTTTGATGTAGTTTAATTTATCTTTTTCTTCTGTTCACTGTGCTTTTGGTATCATATCCAAGATATCATTGCCAAATCAATGTCTTGAAGCTTTCCCCTGCATTTTCTTCTAAGAATTTTGTAGATTTAACTCTTACATTTAGGTCTTTGACCCATTTTGAGTTAAATTTTGTATTTGATGTAAGGTAAGGGTCCAATTTCATTCCACAGCTGCCAGGAGATGTTGGCTGATACTCACAGCTGAGTTCCTCTTCACGAATTGCCCTCAACAAAAAAGAGAGTCTTCACCTCAGGTTATGTTCCTTCCCCAGGTGCCTGCCACCCACATTCAGTGACTGGTCACTGAGAGGGTACAGAGGCCTGGCTCCCTTGCTTCGGTGTAGAACAACTCCAGAGTGTCATTAGAGCTCCAAAACTCATCACACTTTAACCTCCTCCTCTCCCCAGCCCTGGTTCCTTTATTTCTTCAGAGGAGATGCTCCCCGAGAACACTACACGGTAAATTTTCTGCACATAAATTTTAGAATCTGTTTCCCAGGGAGCCCAACCTGAAACAGTGATCTTAATAAGTATAAAAACCTTCTTTTCTATAGTAGATTTTCCAGTTATCCATTTATTGCCTCTCAGCTCTAAATGTACACATCATTGCCTGCTGTATGATAAGGAAGTTGGGACCTGCAAATCTTCACCTTTACTAACCAGCGTGATGTTAAGCTTTGTCAGTAGAGGGTTTTGGAGGGATATCGGAGGAGAAAGGGGCTCCCTTCCTAGGTCCAGTGTGCTCAGCTTGGCAGACTCTCGCAGTGCCCGTGGCATGCTGGGATCACCACGCCAGGCCCCTGCAGTGTCCGGTGGTCCACAGTGCCCAGCAGTTTCCCCCAGTACCCCTTGGGGAGCCTCACGGTGGAGTGCCACCAGTGAGGCACCTCTCCATGAAGAGCTTCCTTGGGACCCCCTTGGGTAGTTTTGAGTGAGTTCTGAAGGATGGCGCCTCCTTGCGGACAGCTTCCCCCAACACCCCAGAGAGCTGATTTCCAGCAAGTTCTACCACCTCAGCATTTCATGAACTTCTTTGCCATCCAGTGAGCCACAGCCCTCTCCGATGAAGTGTAGTCTCACTCTCAGCCCTAAGGATGGTGGCTGCTTGTACGCCAGTTATTCCTGAGGTCTTTGGAGTTCTCTCTACTTCTTACTATCCATTCCCTAATCCTCTAATCACCCTAATCCTTTGTTGTAGTTAAAAACTCTTTATATTAAGCTTTGCCTGTTCAATTCACTGTGAGATCTCTATCTCCTAATTGGACCCTGGCTGATACAGTAGGTTATAAAACAATATGCTTTTTTAGTCTGGTCCGATAGGGAAAATACAACAAACTATATGTGCAGAGAAAGAATATAAGACTTAGAGGAATCTACACCAAAGATGGAATTAAAAGTGTTTTAGTTTTTATTTTCTTTGGTTGTTTTTCTTTATTTTCCAGATTGGGTTATTTTTGCAATCAGGAAAAATATTTTAGAAGGAAAAAAAAATCATACTAGCTTATAAGGTCCTAGCCACATGCTGAATACTTAACCAAGTAAATTTAATTGTCCTTATGTCATAAAGCCTTGCTACTCAAAGTATGGTCTTTGGACCAGCAGCATAAGCAGCACCTGACAGCTTGGGAGAAAATGCAGCATCTCTAGGCCCAACCCAGGCCTGCTGTATCAGAATCTGCATTTTAACAAGATCCAGCTGATGTAGCTGCATATTTGAGACACAAAGTTTGAGAAGTCCTGCTACGATGAGCAATTATTTTATTAATAGTATTTTAAGGAGAAAAAAAATACAGCTTGGCTCTCAGGGGAGCTACCAGCTAGTTTCTAGGACATTTTTTGTGTAGAAATGAGTTGTAGTCCAGCACATTTCTAAGCAGCAATGTTCGAAAATTCTTGCTTATTGACCATCAATTTGCCGTGCACTGAGGTCATCCTCTGAAGTCTTATGTGATTACATTGATGTATTATTTATTGATGAATAATTAGCTCTTTAACACATTGGCTTCCCCGGAAAGCAGAGACTGAGGCGATGGCTTTTGCATTATTGTTTTAAAAAGAATAGTCCAAAGAGGAGGGTGGGATAAGGAGATCAAAGCAGGGAAGAAGGAAGAGCCAATACGGGGTGCATTATGATGTTGGTTGCTGCTAGCTGACACTAATTAATTATGAGAACATGCCCCCAAGACA